TTTGCAGATATGAGTAGCCCAAGCTCCATGGCTGTCCTCCATTTGTTGGGCAGATCATTGGCAATTATCAGCAAAATATCAGTAAGAACCTGTAGAGAATAATATTGCTTGCAGTCAACTTTTTCTTCAGACATAGATATAACCTGCAGAAACAGCAGAAGTTCGTGCACATTGTGGATTATTCAAATGAAAAGGGCACTAGTATATTTACCTCTATATTGCGAGAAATTGGCCACGCAAGAAGCTCCAAGAACAGTGGCTTCAAAATTCTCGCAATGAACAGTTCTTTGCTTCTTTCATTTTGGTCATCAATGGAGGGTTCCTCACATTCACTATCCTCATTGGCATGCTCAAGTGTGGATACTGACGACAAATCTTCAAGCAAACTAGTCAAGTTGCACCTCTGTGAACAAACTATTATCAACTCCTTCAAGCATATTAGGGCCAGATGGAGATATTCCATTTTTTCTTCAAAGTATTTCTTTCCTTTACTATCCTTTCTTTTGGGATCCTTAGTGGATTCCACTCCCGGTTTCAGCACAAGAATTAATTTCAGCAATGGTGGCCCCAGCATTTTAATCTCACCATAAATTAACATCTTCAATGGATCCTCCTTGCTCACATCGCAGGAAGATTTCACATGGCAAATGGAAGCATTCAAGACGAATGCCAAAATCTTAAAAGAAGATTCTGACGTTTTGCCTGGAGACAATGTACCATTGTTCTGAGAAGCCATAGTATAATTTAAGCATTCATTACCACAAAGTTTCAAAGCAGTAAGCAATAGCTGATAGATGTTTGAAGTTGCCAAGAAGGAAGTGCGACACCCTTCATTGAATTTAGTGTTGCCTGAATCAGGATTGTTAAGCACATCACGAGGCATATTATGTAGATTCATCCTTTTCCTGATGTTACTCTGTCTTAATTTACTCAATGAGTCATGAAGATCAACAAACTCAATAAGCTCCTTCTCAAGATCCACTCTCTTTACATCTGTTGCTTTCTCCAAGTCAGTGATGATACTATTCAACACCACTTCAACAATTCCTGACAAAATCCATGCACAGTATTTCCTTTTTCCTTCAAAAGATTGAGAGCCCTCATCTTGAGCCTGCCCAATAATGTCTGAACTAACACGAAGAAAAACAGAAAGCAATAAGTTGCCGGGACATGGAACTCACGAGAAAGCCATGGCAAGACATAACATAGGATCTCCTAATAAAACAATATCAATTTTCTTCTCTTAGTTTGCATTGTTTGATCATGAAAAGAATCAAGCAACTAGAACACTTGTCCCACCCACAAGAAAAGAAAGTGAAAGTGACAAAGTGACCAAAGTAATTCAGGAGGCAAGCAGAAATGTACTAAGCAACTTAAAATTGCAGGAGAAAACAATGTTGGTTAGGAAACGCACGCACCATCCAACTTTCTGTTTCCAAGAAACTTCCGGATCTTCAAAAAGGCACTGTAGAATAATTCACTGGATATATTTCTTCCGTCCTGCAGTCATTCATATTTGTGATGAAAATGAGGCTTATGTTATTTTTATATATTATTGCTGTTATCGATAATTAATCTAGTGCACTAGCATAATAGTGTACCTCATTCTCTTGCGAAAGAGAGAAACCAAAACATGGCCATGAGGAATGAGAATGATCCAGTTTTTTGCCATGTTGCTGAAGAAGTAAAATCCAAGAAAGACATGATATAAGACGGTCTAAAGGTTCTCCAATAAGAACTTTGTCATTTTCTGATCTAATGCAATCTCTTACTAGAAGTTGAACATCTGCATCCTGTTCAAAATGATCCCTCAATCAACTATAAATTATGGTTGATTGTACGGATATTTAAAAATGTCCAAGATGCATGCAAATCAATTCCATAAGCTGACATTTTTTGGCTAAACATTCATTAAGTTTACTTGGTCAAAAATATTTTGCAAAACAAAAAGCAAAACTTTTATAATCAACTTAGAAAGAAACTCCTTTTCAGCAATGAATAAGTACCTCCCGGAAATATTGAAGGAAGTGAGGCAAGAGAAAATCAAACACGGTTCCTCCACTTGATGGATCCAGCAAGACAAGATTTACAAGTCCATGATAAATGACCTCCTTAACTTTTGCCTAAATTCAGAAATCAAACAGCTCTGAGAAACATTCTTCAAGGAAAAAAATTATTACCAGAAACCTGGATGTGACTACAGCAAAAATAATAATATAATAATAACAACTTAGGGAAAAGAGGATTTTTTATCATACATCACCTGCTGATAAAGACACCTTTGTAGCAAACCATTCAGTTCTTGAAAGAGACCTTCTCTGATAATGCCCCTCGTCTCAGATTGCTGGCTGCAACTCGCTTGGCTTGATGAGTCTTGGAAAGCAATCCAGCTGCCTTTTTTAGACTGCTTTTCTGCCAATATTAGATCAATTATAGCATTTGTTGCAGCAAGCCGAACTGTTTCTTCTTGTCTAAACATTGCCTTGCGCACAACCAATACAGTATAATCCTACAAAATTAAGCAACCCAAAAATGAAATGTTGTTCACGATCTCAATAGATTTAAGACAATATTATCCATTCATGAATGGTTTATGCAAAGATTCTTTAAATGTTTTAATTTTAAAATATATTTTATTCTTGGTAAAGTATCAAGGTTATTTTCCTCTATTTGCCCATATAGTACTTTTCTCAACTCAGCCAGTTTCCTGTATAAGAGTCATAGGGATCCCCACAGTATCTTACACTCAAGTATTTGGTATACGCTATTGTAAAACATTTCCTCCTGTTGCCAAAGCCATCTAAGTCGATAGCTTATTTCTTTGCAGCTACATATTGTTGGCCTTTTCACCAACTAGATAACAAAAAGTACATTTTTTGCACGGTAACTTGTAGGAGACTGTTTACATGGGATAACTTCCAAAGTTTGTTGTGCTAGGGGAAAAGTTTTCCCAAATGAATAATTTTTTGTATGATTTAAAGAAATCTACCAAAACTTGGTACAGAAAATTTAGCCAAGTGGTGATGGAGTTGGTTTGTATCCAAATAAAGTGAACCATTCTGTTTTCTATCACTGTTACAAAACAAAAAAATTGTTACTGATTATGAATGCTGACCTACCACAGATGATAATAGATTGATAGTAAAGGGATTCAAGAGTTGAAGCTTTCCCTGTGAATTTGGTCTCAAACAATTGGTTTTTCTGTGGTGCTTCTTGGGTATTGAGGAAACTAGATTGAGCAGGAGATTTGTTTGTCAGGAAAGGATGTTCTTAATCTTCAAAATGAGACAGTAGTGCTGGGATCCAAACAAGTTGCTACTCCTGCCGATTCAAATGTAAAATTAGCTGCATAAGGAGTAGGTTGTTGGACGACCATGGTGGGTATATAAAGTTTGTTGGTAAATTGAATTGCCCCAATGTAACTCATCTTGATAATTCATTAGCTTGGAGTGTTGTGCATCAATTTATGAACCTCTTAGCACTAATCACCAGAAGGCAGTTTTGCATGGTTTAGAGTTTCTCAAAAGTGCACCAAGTCGTGAATTACTCCACAAGAGTCATTGAACACACCTTGATTCAAGGGTATACTATGTTGATTGGGCTAGTTCCTTCCAGTTGAAGATATGCTGTTTATATTGTACGGGTGGCAACACAATGTCTTGGAAGAGCAAATCCATAGCTGCTAGATCTGATGGCTAAGACAAAATATCAATCTATGCTCATTTACATGTGAGATTGATTTGGTAAACACACTCCGTTTCCAAAGCTGCAACCCATGACATTACTTAGCGATTGCTAAGCAAGAACTCAGATTGCTTCAAACCTAGACTTTCATGAGAAGACTAAACATAATGAGGTTGAGCCTCACTTATTCAAAAACGAGCTTCTAGACAATTTGGTTCAGATTGGACATGCAAAGTCTGCATATGAGTTTTAGTTGATATGTCCACAAAATTCTTACTGGGAGCTCATGTTAAGTTTGTTTGTAACAAATTTTGTGCATATGATATATCTGTACTCTAAGTCAAGAGTGAGTGCCAGAGCATAAGAGGGTATTTTTCTCTCTAGTACTTTCCTCATATAATGTCTTCCTATCTAATCTAGATCCACACGTTAGTCATAAGAATTCTTGTAAATACCTATCTATAATTTCTCATAATAGAATAAAACTATAGTATTCTCTTCATTATTCTCATTACAACCGTAGACAAATGCATGCAGTCGAGGGCAGAGGTTTCATCTACACACATTACAACCACTCACTTGAAATAGAAATCAGAATAAAATTCCAGAAAACTCATTCCAGATATTAAACTGGATATGAAAAATATTTACCTGGAGATCACGACTGAATTTGATGAGAGGCAAAAGAGCAGCAACAAGGCAAGTAGCAACTTTTCCATCCATGAAAACGAAGTAATCCAACAGCTCCTTCAAACGGGATACATGCTCCAATAATGGATGAGGATGAGCCTGAACCAGACATCCGAGCAGTCTGTGCATGCTCGAAATTATTTTTGAACCAAAAATAAGTGAAAACTGAGTAATAAGACTTAGGATGCTACCTGATTATTGGCATGCACTTGTCTCTCTTCAAAGAAAGGATGCGAAACTTACAATGCTCAATAATCTGCATATATCAACCGAAGTGATTACTGCTGCATGCTAACATAAGAATGATGCTTTCAGTAAATGCTTTTGGTATCAATCAACCGACTATGGTAGTGACTAGACACACGGACACTGCCATGTAAATCCTTTTGACATTCTGAGTCAGTTTTCTCAAAGCTGTTTTCCAAACTGTCATGGTAATCTTTGGTCATAAAATTTACTGACCTCACTTCTTGACATATCATGGACCTCAAATAGAGCTTTTAGTATCTGGATGCTAAGCTCCTCAATGCCCAGTATGCCATCAGAACTACAGACCTCTTTGAATTTTCCATCTTCAACAGACTCCAACAGTGCAAAACCCAACTGAACAATGCTAGGTATAATATGCTCCCTTCCATAATTGCTATCATTTACCTAAATACCGAAAAAATTAAATAATAGCATATAACTTGATAAGTTAGCTTATAACCACAAAAAGTTCCCATTAAGGATATGCCAAGGAAAATATATGAATCAGAGAGAGATATTACAGCTCTTAATACAGACATTTCCACTTCTTTGACACGCTCCAAATATTCTTCCTTTATATTATCAGGCAGCCATTTGCAGTCTCTATGAGAGAATGAAAAAGTCATAAGCATTTACTATGGATGAAGATAGGAAAGAAGAAGAAATTTTGAAGAATGTCCTCTTAATTATTGACTGTTTTTGATAGAACAAGAACTTTAGTTCACATTTTTGCAGTTTCTATCATGACAAGTTAAAATCATTGGCATTTTCTTTTTAACTAAAAGTGTGAATATGAATTAGTATAATCACCATTGGTGCAAAACATGTACAGTTACTTACAGTTCAATTTTCTACCCAAAAAAAGAGCTTTGAGAGTCTCAGAAAATATCGGAGAATGACCCAAAATCATTGGCATTATCTTCTAGATAATGATCTAGCGATTATCTCTAAAAAGTTTCCCATGCGTCCGAACTCTAGACTAAATGACATTGCACTATCTATCATGTTAAGCCCTAACCAGCATATTTTGTTGTATGTTAGATTACAATCTTAGCATCATAGTTATTTTCAAAGCATTACATTTATCGGTTTCTAAGGTCCAAAACAACATGGACTCTTATCTTTACATATACATTCAATCTATAGAAATGCATGATAGTGAGTAAAGCATCCAGCGCTCACTTGGCAGACTTGCAATCAGAATAAGCTGTAAGCAATGCTGTTTTCAGAATTCCCAACGAACTCTCACTAAACCTTCTTACCCTTGCAACAGACAATAAAATAGCAACAGTAAAATGATTAAAAGCTCTGATATCCAATTTCACCAGCTTTATAACCTCTTGCCCCAAAGAAGGATCCTGCTTCACCGCAAAATTCATGTGAAGCAACACAGTTCCCTCAATTTGCCTCATTATGGAATTCGCTTTAGTCCCAAATTTAGAGCCGAAAAAGCCAACAATACCTTCAATCACCTCCCTCTTGTTAAAACCTTTTGATGCCAAAACCAACAACTGATACATAAGCGAAGGTAAATCCTGCAAATCTACACTCTTCATGCCCACAAAGACCTTCTGCAAAAACTCCTTTCCTTTGCCCTTGTCTAAAAACGTGATTTCCCTTGCAATGGAAACCATTTTGACTAACAACCCTTTTGGCCATTCGCAATCAAGAATACTATCAACAACCGAATTCACATAATCTCGACCTCCCTCAACCTCCTCCGCGCTAAGTATCAAATAAAAACACCTAGGCAATAGATCGAACATCTGAGCATCATCAACGTGGACAATACTGGAAAAACCCGAAACAATTGCATCGACAATTGACTGGAGATCGTTGACTGGTACGTAGCTTAAGAGAGTATTGAAAAGATGTATGGTTCTCAACGAATTGGAATCGTGCGGGATATTCTGAGAAGAAAAAAGGCTAGCGTAGGAGAGGAGGAGAGATGAAAGGAGCGAAGAGACTGAAGGAGTGGTTGGAGACAGAGAGATGAGGGAGAGAAGAGATACTGTGTATTCGGATACAGCAAGAGAGGGAGAGGGAGAAGATGAACGAGAACGAAGATAGGAAATGAGAGTGGAATGAGAATTGGGAGAGAGAAGATAGGGAGGGAGGGATAAGCCAGATTGGCAATGGTGATACTGAGCTAACCGCACAATATCGTTGTCGTTTAGAGGCTGTAGTTGTTGTTCCCTGGTGGCGGCGGCAGTGGCAGCGGTGGTCATGGTGGTGGCGACTGGTATTTTCTCTCTTGCGAGTTTCAGTGCTTTTGAATAAGAGACGGGGATCTGGCGGCTTCTGATTTTTATTTTGCGCGGGAAAAAACCACTCCTGACTTTTTTGTTTTTTTTTTTTTTTTTGGGGGTGGAGAAATAAAAATTAAGTTTAAAAAAAGATTACTGAGAAATTTATTTAATTATATTAAAATATTATTATTATATATCTTAAAATTATAAACTTAAGCCTGAGTCGATAGAATTTATTATATAAAATTAAACTTTTCAAAAATTCTTGATTGCTTTTTAAGTTAAAAAGAATAAATTATCACATATTTTATTTAACAATAAGAAAAATATACATATAATATATAATATTATTAACACAAATTAATATAAATTTTCAAAATTCACGTAAAATTTATGTATATAATAATATCCCAGCATTTTTCGATCAGGTTATGAATCTAATTTTTATTTTTTTTATTCAATACAAAATTAATATATATTATGTTAAAATATCATTTTTCTTTGCTTACGTGGCAAGTTGCAG